AAAAAAAAAAATTAGCTAGGCATAGTGGCAGGCGCCTGTAATCCCGGCTACTCAGGAGAGTGAGGCAGGACCCTCCCAAAGTGCTGGGATTACAGGCATGAGCCACCGTGCCCGGCCCAAATCTGCATTTTAACAAGAGTCCCTGCTATCTCCTATGAGTGTCAAACTTTGAGAAGTGTTGATCTGTGTGAGGATGACTCCCCAGTGTTAATCTCAATCACTGGGCCCCAGCCTCTACACCTAACTGCCACTTTGGCATATACCCAGCCATCTCAGACATAATTTGCTCCAAATTGGTATCCTTGCTTCAACTTGATCCTCTGCATCCTAGCCAATTGCACCATTACTACTAGCCATTCAAGCTACAAACCTGTGAGTCACTTCTGAGTCCACTATGTCCCTCACTCTCCCATTCAACCCATCAACTAGTCTAGGTAACTACTTCCAAATCCATCCCAAATGCACCACCTCTTTCTATCTGAACCCACCACCTCAATATATGACTTGGATACCTACCAAGCCTCCCACTTCTGCCCTTCCTGCCTCCAGTCAGTTCTCTCCACTATGGCCAGAGGAAGCTTTTTTTTTTTTGGAGAAAGAGTCTCGCTGTTGCCCAGGCTGGAGTGAAGTGGCATGATCTTGGCTCACTGCAACCTCCACCTCTCCCGTTCAAGTGATTCTCATGCCTCAGCCTCCTGACTAGCTGGGACTACAGGTACTACCACAGCCAGCTAATTTTTTGCATTTTAGTAGAAATGGGGTTTCACCATGTTGCCCAGGGTGGTCTCAAACTCCTGAGCTCTAACAGTCCACCCATCTTGGCCTCCCAAAGTGCTAGAATTACAGGCATAAGCCACATCACCCAGCCAGAGGGAGCTCTTAAACTAAAATTAGTGATTTCACACGTAAAATCAGGGACTGGGCGCATTGGCTCATGCCTGTAATCCCAGCACTTTGGGAGGCCAAGGCAGGTGAATCACGAAGCGAGGAGTTCAAGACCAGCCTGTCCAACATGGTGAAACCCCGTCTCTACTAAAAATTAGCCAGGCATGATGGTGGCAGGCATCTGTAATCCCAAACTGAGGCAGGAGAGTCACTTGAACCCAGGAGGTGGAGGTTGCAGTATGCCAAGACTGCACCACTGCACTCCAGCCCCGGGCAACAGAGTGAGACTCTATCTCAAAAATAAATAGGCCAGGAACAGTGGCTTACGCCCATAATCCCAGTGCTTTGGAAGGCCAAGCAGAGAGGATCACTTGGGCCCAGGAGTTCAAGACCAGCCTGGGCAACATAGCAGGACATGATCTTTACAAAAATTCTTTTAAAAAATTAGCTGGACCTGGTGGTGTGCACCTGTAGTCCCACCTATTTAGAAAGCTGAGGCAGGAGAATCACTTAAGCCATGGAGTTCAAGGCTGCAGTGAATTATGATTGCACAAGTGTACTCCAGGCTTGGGGAGGAAGTGAGATCCTGTCTCTAAAAAATAAAAATAAATAAATAAAATCAGACAGGTGTACCCCTCCAAACTCAACTCCTACCACTGGCAGCTTCGGCTACCCTGTCTCTGAAAGAAACTAAGTTTATCCCATCTCAGAACCTTTGCACTTGCTTTTCTCTCTGTCTAGAGCTTTTTTCCTCCACATCTGCCCACAGCTGTCTGTAGTCATTTCAGTGAAAGGTCTTCTTTGACCCTCATCACCCTATTAATGCATTTTTTTTTTTTTTTTTTTTCCTGAGACAGGGTCCTGCTCTGTCGCCCAGGCTTGAGTGCAGTGGCACAATCACGGCTCACTACAGCCTCGACCTCCTAGGCTCAAGCAGTCCTCCCACCTCAGCTTCCCGAGTAGCTAGGACTACAGGCAAGCACCACTACGCCCGGGTAATTTTTTGATTTTTCATGTCTTGCTATGTTGCCAAGGCTAGTCTGGAACTCCTGGACTCAAGCGATCTTCCCGACTGGATTAATGTATTTTCAGCAACGATCAGTATCTAAAACCACCTGTTTCTTTTACTTCTAATTTGTTCAAAGTCTGGTTCCCCTAAGAGATGACAGATTTTTATCTATCTTCCTCATTGCTGTGTGTCCAGCACCCATAACAGTGCCTGGTATATGGTAGGTGCCTAACAATTATCAACCGAACGGAAACAGCTCAAGTTCAACAAAACACCTATAAATCTGAACCCCAAGGTAGGGTGTAGGTACAGCAGCTCTGACGCTGGCTGCCAGGATTCTGCATCTCTTGGGGTAAACAGGGAGACGTGGATTCCAATTCCTGCCAGGCTGCCGACTTGAGGCGTGACCTCAGGCGAGGACTTTAATCTGAGTCAGCTGTTTCATCTGCAAAATGGGAGACTGGGGGCGTGTGGGGGGTGGCCTTTCCCAGCGCGTCCCCACCTCGACTACGAAAGGTCACGGTGCCCTGGCCCTGCAGCTGAGTCCCTCCGGGACCGCCCTCTCGCTCTGCCGGGTCCTGAAGGGCCCGCCTGGAGCACAGCAATTCGCGTTCGCCTACCCGCTCGCAACCTACCTACTCACGCAGTCAGCCGCGGACTCCAGGCCGGATCTGTCTTCTTGCTGGGCGCCGCCATGTTGGCACAGAGAGCGTCCGGGTCAGGGGCCGCAAAGGAGGCAGCAAATCAAGAAAGGCGGTGTAATAGGTCCCGCCCACAACGCGAGAAGCGCCGATAGGAAGGCGAAAGGACCTTGGGCCAGGCCCCACCTCTAATGAGGTAAGACGCACTCCAGGCCTGGGAACCTTGAAATGGCCCGGGAGGCTGGACTTCGGATGTCTATGCATCCAGCCGGGCGGCTGAAATGAGAAAATGAACTATAGGGCCAGGCGTGGTGGCTCACGCCTGTAATCCAAGCACTTTGGAGGCCAAGGCGGGCCGATCACCTGAGGTCGGGAGTTCAAGACCAGCCTGACCAACATGGTGAAACCCCGTCTTTAAAAAAAAAAAAAAAGCCTGGTGTGAGTTCGTCCTGGGCGGCTGTTCTTTTGAGCAGTGGTCGTTTATCTCCGTCCGCCTTCTCTTCCACCTAAGTGCGTGTCGCCACCCGATGGAAGATTCGATGGACATGGACATGAGCCCCCTGAGGCCCCAGAACTATCTTTTCGGTTGTGAACTAAAGGCCGACAAAGATTATCACTTTAAGGTGGATAATGATGAAAATGAACACCAGTTATCTTTAAGAACGGTCAGTTTAGGAGCTGGTGCAAAGGATGAGTTGCACATTGTTGAAGCAGAGGCAATGAATTACGAAGGCAGTCCAATTAAAGTAACACTGGCAACTTTGAAAATGTCTGTACAGCCAACGGTTTCCCTWGGGGGCTTTGAAATAACACCACCAGTGGTCTTACGATTGAAGTGTGGTTCAGGGCCAGTGCATATCAGTGGACAGCACTTAGTAGCTGTGGAGGAAGATGCAGAGTCAGAAGATGAGGAGGAGGAGGATGTGAAACTCTTAAGTATGTCTGGAAAGCGGTCTGCCCCTGGAGGTGGTAGCAAGGTTCCACAGAAAAAAGTAAAACTTGCTGCTGATGAAGATGATGATGATGAAGATGATGATGATGATGATGATGATGATTTCGATGATGAGGAAACTGAAGAAAAAGTGCCAGTGAAGAAATCTATACGCGATACTCCAGCCAAAAATGCACAAAAGTCAAATCAGAATGGAAAAGACTCAAAACCATCATCAACACCAAGATCAAAAGGACAAGAATCCTTCAAAAAACAGGAAAAAACTCCTAAAACACCAAAAGGACCTAGTTCTGTAGAAGACATTAAAGCAAAAATGCAAGCAAGTATAGAAAAAGAGCATTGAACAGTCCTGGGCACTGCTGGTAAATTAAGCCCAAAGATGGGGAGAAAGGAAAAGGAGAGACACATATAGTCCATACTGAGTGTCATCAACAACCCAGACTGAAGTCTTCTATTTAATCTCAATCCCCTTTTCTGATTTGCCACCCATGCCTCTTCAGGCTGGAAACAGTTTCACACTCTTGGTTCCCTAAAGCACTTTGTTCTGACTGCTGCGATTCAGTGAACCTTGCCTTTTGCTTTCTATTACTTGTGTGCATTTGCCTTATCTCTGACCATGTTTTAAATCCTTTGTATCTCCTTAGCTGCTCAATAAATATTTTAATGAATCAATTTAAAAAAAAAAAAGAAAGAAAGAAAATGAACTATTAAAGGTTAAAGGGGGGCGGCAAGGTGGCTCATGCCTGTAATCCCAACACTTTGGGAGGCCAGGAGTTCGAGACCAGCCTGGGCAACATAGCGAGACCCCTTATCTGCAAAAAATTTAAAAATTAACTAGGCATGATGGCGCCTGCTTGTAGTCCCAGCTATTCGGGAGGCTGAAGCGGGAGGATCACTTGAGCCCTGGAGGTTGAGCATACAGCAAGCCAGGATTGCACCACTGTGCTCCAGCGTGGGCAACAGAGTGAGACCCTGTTTCTAAAAATAGTAATAATAAATAAGGCCAGGCACTTTGGTTCACGCCTGTAATCCCAGCACTTTGGGAGGCCGAGGCAGGCGGGTCACCTGAGGTCAGGAGTTCAAGACCAGCCTGACCAACGTGGTGAAACCCCATCTCTACTAAAAATACAAAGTTAGCAGCGTATGGTGCTGGGTGCCTGTAATCCCAGCTATATGGGAGGCTGAAGCAGGAGAATCGCTTGAACCTGGGAGATGGAGGTTGCAGTGAGCCAAGATCACGCCACTGCACTCCAACCTCGGAGACAGAGTGAAACTCTGTCTCAAAAAATAAAATAAATAAATAAATAATAAAAATTAGCAGGGTGTGGTGGTGTGCTCCTGTGATCCCAGCTACTCTGGAGGCTGAAGCACAAGAATTACTTGAACCCAGGAAGTAGAGGTTGCAGTGAGCCGAGATTGTGCCACTGCACTCCAGCTTGGGCGACAGAGTGAGACTCTGTCTCAATAAATAAATACATAAATAAATAGGATGGCCTCAATGAGACAGCCTTTGAGTAAAGGCCTGGAGGAAGTGAGTGAGTCATCTGGATATCTGGGGAACGGTTTTGGCACTAGGAACAGCAAAGACTCTGTGTGTTAGAGTGGAGTAACTGAGGAAGAAATGTGATAAAATGAGATGAGATTGAGTAGTGGGGGCTCCTGGTCTCCCCCAGAAAGAGATAAGCACATACATAGGGGTATTGGCAATAGCAATGGCCCCAGGGAAGGAAGGTTATCTGCCCTCATAATCCCATTTCTGCAGTCCCTCAGCCTCTGTGGCAAAGCGAGGTGGCATGAGGGCTGGAATGCAAGAACCTACCCTTAAGATGCCTCAAGGACTCTGCGCCTCATCAGAACTCCTGTGATTGGGTGAGCTCAGAAGACCTGTAGCCAATCAGCTGCTTGGCTGGAGCACTTCTCCCTGGCAAGTTGACAGGCACGTGGAGAGCGACTGGGAGCCTACTGCCCTCTGCCAGACTCCTGAAACTACAAACAGGCAGTCCACTCTGCTTAGCTGAGGAGTGGGTAAGATGATGGAATTGCTGACCTCTGCGGCCTTCAGAGTTCCTGGTGTCCTTCTCTTGAGGTGGTCATAGCTCTTGTTTTTTTTTTTTTTTTTTTATTATTATTATTATTATTTGGAGATGGAGTCTGACTCTGTCACCCAGGTTGGAGTGCAGTCGCGCAATCTCGGCTCACTGCAACTTCCGCCTCCCGGGTTCAAGCAATTCTGCTTCAGCCTCCCTAGTAGCTGGGATTACAGGCACACACCACCACGCCTGGCTAATTTTTGTATTTTTAGTAGAGACGGAGTTTCATCGTGTTGCCCAACCTGGTCTCAAACTCTTGGGCTCGAGTGATCCTCCTGCTTCAGCCTCCCAAAGGGATGGGATTACAGGCATTCACCACCATCCCCAATCATTATTATTATTATTATTATTTTTCTGAGACAGAGTCTTGCTTTGTTGCCCAGGCTGGAGTGCAGTGGCACAATCTCAGCTCACTGCAACCTCTGTCTCCCGGGTTCAAGAGATTCTGCTGCCTCAGCCTCCTGAGTAGCTGGGATTACAGGCACATGCCACCATGCCCAACAAATTTTTATGTTCTTAGTAGAGGTGGGGTTTCACCATGTTGGCCAGGCTGGTCTCAAACTCTTGACCTCATGATCCGTCTGACTCCGCCTCAGTGTTGGGATTACAGGCGTGAGCCTCCATGCCCAGCTATTATTATTATTTTAAAATAGAAATGGGGTCTCACTATGTTACCAAGGTTTGTCTCAAACTCTTGGGGTCCATCGATCCCCTGTCTTGGCCTTCTAAAGTGCTGGGATTACAAGCATGAGCTACCACACCAGGCCGGTAGCCTTTTTAAAAACAAGTATGGCCGGGCGCGGTGGCTCACGCCTGTAATCCCAGCACTTTGGGAGGCCGAGGCGGGTGGATCATGAGGTCAAGAGATCGAGACCATCCTGGTCAACATGGTGAAACCCCGTCTCTACTAAAAATACAAAAAATTAGCTGGGCATGGTGGCGCGTGCCTGTAATCCCAGCTACTCAGGAGGCTGGAGCAGGAGAATTGCCTGAACCCAGGAGGCGGAGGTTGCGGTGAGCCGAGATTATGCACTCCAGCCTGGCGCCTGGCGACAGAGCAAGACTCTGTCTCAAAAAAAAAAAGGGAAAAAAAACAAGTATGGGGCCGGCCACCGTGGCTCATACCTATAATCCCAGCACTTTGGGAGGCCAAGGCAGGGGGATCACAAGGACAGGAGATTGAGACCATCCTGGCCAACATGGTGAAACCCCATCTCTACTAAAATACAAAAAAAATTAGCTGGGCATGGTGGCAGGCACCCATAATCCCAGCTACTTGGGAGACTGAGGCGGGGGAATTGAACCTGGGCAGCAGAGGTTGCAGTGAGCTGAGACTGTGCCACTGCACTGCAAATGGGTGACAGAGCAAGAATCCGTCTCAAAATAAAACAAAAATCAAGTATGTACATATTTTATGTACTGTATGTATTAACAGAGAGCACCCTACTATATGTGAGGCCCTGGTACAAAGTCTTTAACATGCAGTCCCAGAAAGAACCCTATTAAAAAAATAGCAGCTTCACTTGTGGAAGATCCTGGCAGACACCACCTTAACAAGGGACCAACATTAATATCACCAGCAATGAGTCATGGTGATATCATGAAGCCCTTAGTATGACCCACTTAGAAGGGTACATCATCACCTCTCTGGTATTCTTACTAGTAATGTAAACACCTCAGTTTATTCAACACACACCAATCTGAAAGACATCTACAAAATAACTGACCAGCATTCTTCAAAAGTGTCAAAGTCCTGAAAGACCCAGGGACTATTATAGACTAGAGGAATATAAGGAGATGTGATAATTAAATGCAATGAGGGTGAGGCACAGTGGTTTGACTGTAGTGTCAGCTATTTAGGAGGCTGAGGCAGGAGGATTGCTTGAGCCCAGGAGTTCGAGTCTAGCCTGGGCAACATAGTAAGACCCCATCTCCAAGAAAAAAATAACAAATAATAAATAAATTATAATAAAGGATCTTGGATTGGATTCTGGAACAGAAAAAGGACATAAGTGGAAAAAGTGAAGAAATCTGCATCAAGACTGTAGCTTATTAGTAGTATTGTAGCAAAGTTAATGTCTTAATTTTGATAAATGTATCATGGTTATGTAAGATGTTAACATTAGGGGCAGCTGGGTGAAGTGTATATGGGAACTCCTCTACTATTTTGCAACTTTTCTGTAAGTCTAAAATTATCTCAGACTTGGTGTGGTGGCTCACGCCTGTAATCCCATCATTTTGGAAGGCTGAGGTGGGAAGATCACTTAAGCCCATAACTATGAGATCAGCCTGGGCAACATAGGGAGACCCCATCTCAACAACAACAACAACACAACAACAAAATTAGCTAGACACGGAGGCATCTGCCTGTAGCTCCAGCTACTCAGAAGCCTGAGGCAGGAGAATCCCTTGAGCCTGGGATGTCTGGGGTACAATGAGCTGTGATTGTGCCACTGCACTCCAGCCTGGGTGACAGAGTGAGACCCTGTGCCAATAATAAATAAAATCATCTCGAAAAGTTAAAAACAAACAAACCTATGAACCAGGCACTATTTTTTAATTTCATTTACTTATTTTTCAGAAGCAGGCACTATTGATACAACCATTTCTCAGAAGGAAATTGAGGCACAGTGACATAGGACACCTGTCCAAGGTCACACAGCTAGGACACACAGACATGTCTCAAACCCACAGAGTGTAGATCTGGAGTCCCCACTCTTTTTTTCTTCTTTTTTTTTTGAGACAGAGTTTCACTCTTGTTGCCCAGGCTGGAGTGCAATGGCACGATCTTGGCTCACCACAACCTCCGCCTCCTGAGTTTAAGTGATTCTCCTGCCTCACCTTCCCAAGTAACTGGGATTACAGGCATGTTCCACCATGCCTGGCTAATTTTGTATTTTCAGTAGAGACGGGGTTTCTCCATGTAGGTCAGGTTGGTCTCAAACTCCTGACCTCAGTTGATCTGCCCACCTCGGCCTCCCAAAGTGGTTGGATTACAGGCCTGAGCCACCGAACACAGCCCTTTTTATTTTTTTTTTTTTCAGATGGAGTTTCACTCCTGACCTCAGGTGATTTGCCTGCCTTGGCCTCTGAGGGATTACAGGTGTAATCCCCTGTTGGGATTACAAGCATGAGCCACTGCGCCCGGCCATGCCACTGCATTTTAGTCTGGGTGAAAAAGAAAAGAAAAGAATGCTTGACAACATGCAGTGCGGGGAGGCTGTGGGAAGACTGTTGATGAGTGTGGGCAATTTGTTGATAGTTTTCCAAATAACAAATGCCCTTACCTTCTGAACAAGCATATTCTCTATTTTAGAATATTCCTCAGAAGTACAAGTGTAGGTGTGAAGAATGACATATGTGCAGGAACATTTATTGCAGTGGCCTTGTCATAATAAATCACTGTATAAATCCTATCAACCAAGGACGAGGGAGATAGACAAAGCTGAAGTCAAAACATGTAGCATGTTGTTTCAATTAAATGAAGACACTGTAGTGCTGTGCTTAAGAGTGGGGACTCTGGCCAGGCGCGGTAGCTCAGGCTTGTAATCCTAGCACTTTGGGAGGCTGAGGCAGGAGGATTGCTTGAACTGGAGA